ATTATGTAGGTTTTGAACTCGATCCCTGGCCTCCATGTAAATAGGTGTCATGCAACTTTTTACTTTGGCTTATTGAAACATCTCCTAAGACATGTAGCACACTGCTCTTTCTGGTGGCATTAAATTTATTCAAACACCAACATCAAGCCTCATTATGTTTTTTTTTTTTTTTTTTTTTTTTTTTTTTTTTTTTTTTTGGTCCTCAATCACCAAAGAGCGAATGGATTAAACTGACTTTGGTCTTAACCTTTCTAGTCCTGGGATTGACTTCACTTACCTCCCAAACTCTCTTAGTTCATCATGGCAAAGATAAAACAAGGTGCTGGAAACATTCCTCAGAGGTTTTGGTCCATCTTGACATGACATCATCGCGCAGTTGTTGCAGATTTGTCAGTTGATGTGAATGTGGGTACACTGTGGTCATACTGATGGACAGGATCAACAACAATACTCGTGTTACTCAGGCTGTGGTGTTTAAAAGCCTGTGCACGTTGTTGCCTCAGTTTCCTTTTCTTAGGGTTAGAGTCTTCTGGTGCTGTAGCCCATCTGCTTAAGTTTGATGTGTTATCCATCCAGAGATGCTCCTCTGCATGACTTGCTTGTAACGAATGCTTGAGTATTTGCCTTCTAATCAGCTTGAAGCAGTCTGCCCATTCTCTGTAAAGCCTAGAGAGGATTGTCAACAGCTTTTGAAAAACACAGACAAGCCCATCTGGCACCAACAATCATGTCAAAGTCACTTAAATCCCCTTTATTCCCCCGTACAGTGCTCCGTTTAAACTTGAGTTAGCCTGTGTGTTTAAATGTTTTGAGTTGCTGCCATTGGCTGATTGCATTAATGAGCAGCTAAACCTAATGAAGTGGCCAGTGAGCATAGTTCATTGTTGTATTTAGTATTTTTGTTTAATGTGATTAAATTAACAAGAAAAATAATAGTAATGGCTACAGGTTAGTGTGAATGAAGTAGTTACTGAGAATGATCCTTTTGATTATTCTTAAAGGTGGGGGACTAACTGTTATTAACTTGTGTAAAGAGAGATTGCATAAGCTAAAACTCAAACATATATTTCCCTGACAGCTTCTCAGCTTGAGTTCAAGGCTTCCTTTTAGACTCTGCACACAGATTGCCTTGCTGACAAGTAGGCACTTTATGCTTGTTTGTGCAACATTTTTGGCCTGTCAGCAGGTGAAAGATGTCAAACCAAACTACCAGCTAGACGTACACACTAGCAGCTCTGTCCTCACCTCTGAGAGGGAAAAAAATCCCGTGGACTGAGGCTCTGCTTGCATTTTGGGATGTATAAAATTCCATCAATATTTATTAACTGCGTTGGCAATGTCGGTGCAACCGGAGTATAACTGAATTTTCAGATGACAGATTAGGTTATGAGAGCAGCGTGTCATTGATTGCAAAATGTTAAAGCTTGACATCTTTATGGAGCACAGTTGATTCTTTTCCTCCTTATTAATCATTTTATTTTCTTATACTGCTGTTTAAAAGGCTTCTTTCATTTCACTGCACTGAATGCTTACTTAACTGTAGTTTACAGTCTGAACAGCAGATGGAACTAAACCGCTTTAGAAAGCACAGCCAGTATTTCTAATTGCAGATCAGTGCGGAGTGTGTGCTTCTGATATGCTTGAGATGTGGGTTTCATTCTCCTTTAGGCTAAATCTGATCTGCTATTATTACCTTAAAATGTTCATCTGGCCTTTATGATCCATTTTCCTTTCTGCACGTTACTCGCTTGACCTGAAATGACCCGGGAGTGAAACGAGTGTGACAGTCATCCATTTATGGAGGTTTAATGCTGCCTGCTCGTTCACCGCCGCTGACATTAGACAGCTTGTGCCTCCCATGATGCCCTGCTGCCTCAGCGGTATCATTTCACAGTGAATGCCTGGACAACCAGGATGATGAGGTCACTGATTTGATGAACTACTTTTCTGCCTGGATGATGAGCTGTCATTAGATTGAAATTGCCTTATTTTCACTTCACAGGAAATGAAGCTGAAAAGTATGTGTGGTGATGGCTAATGTGCACTTGGCAAATTGACTATGGAGGGCAATTTGGTTACTAAAACTTGCTGATGGAATATGAGCCTTTTTGGGGGGTTTCTTTGTTGTTTTTTGTTTAACACAAAACATGACGTTACAAACAGTGGCTGCTCATCAGGAGGCTCTTGATATAGGATTTTAAATTTTCTGGCTACTGATAGTTAGTGTTTCTAACAACATTTGATGTGTAAAAATAAATTGGTGAACAGGAAACTCAAGTGAGTGTATAGAAGTGTGCAAAAGGCTTTAGCCACCCTTCAGTTCTTTATATTTTGCCAGGAAAATGGGGAATAGGTGCAGCGATTTATTGAATTAAACATGCATTCAAATACAGTAAATAAGGCAAAAACAGAGATTGTATAATGTTATCAAAGCTCTCTTAGGCAAGCGATCTTGTCATTTCTTCAAGGAGTATTCAGGAATAGTTCTCCAGGCTTCTTTAAGGACATTCAAAGCTCTTCTCTTGACTGACTTTAGTTTTGTTCTCTGTTCAGTGTCTCTCTTGACCTTCTTCATACATATGAACAAAGATTTCAACCAAAACTTTCAATTTGATTCCACTGATTTTCAGTTTAGTTGTTGAGTAATTTGGGAAATCTCTGCCTTTTTTCCTGTTTCCCTTCCTAAAGAATGGCTTCTTGAAAGCCACCCTTCCACTGAGACCGTTTCTGATGACCTTCAGTGAACAGCAAATGGATGAACTGAAGGGGCAGATGCATCTCTTAGATCCTGTGTGAGGTCTTTACTGCTTTCCCCCCTCCTGTTTCTTCAGGACAGGACTTCCAGACCCTATTCTGCTGCTGTAGATAGTTTTTTTTTTTTTTTTTTTTTTTTTTGTCCTCCACTTTTTCAGTTTTTTTTTTTTTTAAAGGACAAACTGCACACCATGCTAAGATATGGCATGTTTTCAGCTAATAGCTCTTTGGGAAACACCTTGTTGGTGAAAGAATTCATTTTTATGTCAAACTGTGTTATATTTGGCATTTGTCATAGGGACACAGGCTAATTTTTTTTTTCTTGATGCTGTCTGCAGTGACAACACAGATTTAACTCTTGAGTTAGGCACATTTTTTAAGATTGAATAATTGATTTGTGTTAAGTAGATTAACAAACAGACATAAAACAAAAACGAACCTGAAAATGGTCTGGTGCAGTTACTGGAGTGAAAAAGCAGCCAATGTCCCAAGAAAACCTTCGAAAGACCTCCAGAAAGTCTGGAGAACAGTTGCTCTCCAGCTTGGAAATATAAAGAGATGACATCTTTTAACAGAGCTTTTAGCATTATACATAATTTGCACATCATAGTATAGGCTCCAGCACTTGTAACTTATATCAAATAATTATGATTAATACATCAAAAATAAATGCTTTGTTTTAATATGTGAATCCCCAGGTGACTTTGCACTGTACTGACTTGATAATACTATGTGGCCTGACAGTATTATGGCTACTTACATACAGCTTTACCTGTGTAAGGAAAACTTATGACAGGACTAAACTATTGTTTTTTTCTAATTGGTCCTTAGTTATTTGATCCTGTGGTGATTTCTGTTGCCCACAGGATGTCCATCCTGCCTTGTGGACTGGTTTTGTGGTAAGAACATGGTACGTGGCTTTCCGCCAGTCTCAACCTCTTTCCACGCTTGCATCTAAAAACATTGACATTTCCTTTCCTGGTTGTTTAACTAGCCAGCCTTTGAGCAGTGTGGGAGCAAATACCATATGACAGGACTGCTTTATGGCTTCCTTAAGTCAAACACCTGCTAATGGCTGCTTAAATACAGCTCCTCTTATCTGTTGTGGACTTTGTGTTTGCTTTGGTTCATTGTATTAGACTGGTCACCTTTTTGTGCACTGCCGTGTGAAAGCGAGAGATTACAAACCATGTATTTGATGTTTGAGGCTTTTATTTTCTGGGTAATTTTCTTTCCAGTGTAGCACAAATATGATGTAGATACACAGCGGCTGGTGGGTTTTGTTGGCCTGTGTACACACACAAAGACGTGATGTTCAAGTAAACAGAAGGCTGGAAAAACAAACATGCTGTTCAGTAAAGACTGTAGCGTGACAGACTAAATATACAGTAAGCCATAAAGTTCAAACGCTGACTTGGCTTATGTGAGTGATATTTGGTAATTGATACGTGTAGACTTTCTGTTAGACCCGTGGTAATAACTGCAGCTTGCTCACTTTAATGACTTTAATGTGCTCGTGCGTCTAACTGTAGGTCAGGTCACTGTAGGAAATCTTTTTAGATATGTTTTTGTTTATAGTGCAAGACAACAAGACCTGTGACCTGATCTGAAATCAGTGGTGATTCAAGCCCAACAGCCATTTTTCAATGTGTTCTTTAGGTGATGTGTAATAGTTTTCTTCACAGAATACCTGGGATCATTTAAGACTGCTGTTATTTTATGGTCACTACTTTGTTTAAATTTAACATTTACTTAAAAATGACACTTTGTGCTGTTTGCATTGTCTTATGAATCTTGATTTTAATTTTTTTATTCAAGACTGTAAAATGTATTTGTGTTGTATTTTTTCTTGCCTCTCTGAACTTCCTTGCCTTTTAATATTTGCAACCCTATTAGTTGTTCAAATAATCTTTTTTTCTTCCCACAAAGGGAGGAAGTATGTATTTGGTTCCATCTGTCTGTTTGTTTGCAGTCTAGCGTCCACAGTTTTCAAGACATCATTTTCAAATTTTGTGTGATGATCGATACCAGTGACAACTTGAGTGGATTTCATTTTGATGAAAATCGTGTCAAGGATCAATCAGTAAAACCTTTATATTACCCACAATTTTCTATGGGTTGTCTTCATACTTCACAA